ATTTTTTATTTAAAATTTAAATAAACAAAAAAATTTTTTAGTTAATAAGAAAAAATCATTTATTTTACATGAATATCAGATAGTAGATTTTTTCTATCATCTTTTGTGTATACCTTCGTATGATTTTTTATAAAAAAAAGAATATATATTGTACTATTCTGAAAATAAGCAATAAGTAACAAATAAATATTTATTATTAATATATAATAAATAATATAATAAAATACACATGACAAATAAAATAATTATCATAAAAGAAGTATATTACAGGTTGCTTATTTTTTGAACAGTATAATAATATTAGTTTAGTCTAAATACTTTTTTAAAATTATATGCTAATAATGTATAAATAAAGTGATCAAGAGGTAATAGTAGATTGTAAACTATACTAAAAATAACATGGCCATCTTGTTCAATCAAAATTTGTTTTTAGTCATACTTAGTTATGATTTACAAAAAAAACATTTTTCTATTTAAATTTTTCTATTTAACAAGTCTCAATACGTAGGATAGATGGGTAAAAGAAAATATATAGGTCTAGCTAATCTATCATCTATAAGTATATGGTATACTGTATATGGTATATAGTATATAATGTACTATGTAATAAATTCAGAAGTATCTTTTTTTCAAATTTGGCAAATAAACTCTAGCTCAATAAGAGTATACATTGCAAGTGTTTTAAAAATCATGCAGGATTTAAAAAAAATTTTAAAATAAAGGAATGTATAAAAAAAAAGCTTTAGATCCATTTTAGATTAAGCACAAAAGAAAATTTTATTCTAAAATAGGAAAAAAAAGGAGCTCTTTTCATTTATTACAATAATTTATATTATGGTAATTAATGGTTAATTAATCAGTTAATTAATCAGTTAATTAACCAAATCTTAATTAATCATTAATTTTCCCCTAATCATAGTAAAAAAAGAGATCGACAAGCTATATATTTAATTAATAAATCCTGGCAAAAAATATTTATCATTTTGATCAATCATAAACGTTAATCATGATCAGCCAATGCTTTTAAGATGCGCGACTTTTTTTTTGACAAATCTCATTTTCACTGAACGTCTATACGTCAGATACAATGGTAAGTTCTATAACTTGCAATCTGGCTTTAATAAAAATTTATTCATTTTCTATTCAATACTTCTTAGCTCTGATCATTTACTTACGAACCTATAACAAGGTGTCATACTGCAGTTTTTTTGAGCTTAATTAAGATGTAATAATTTTCTCTTTAATAGCAATTTGTGATTGGAATGATTTCGTTAATACTTGGGATGACTATTTCATAACGGAAGCAAGGAATATTATAGTGAATCATGAAGTTTTCATGAATTTAGTACGCAAGATGCATTTTTTTTAACTGATAGTTTTGGAGGAAGAATCGGCTATGTATCTTTCTTTATCACAAATAAAAAAGTTGATACACTGCTAACATTGCTTTTCACAACAGGTAAAATATGAACATTTAGGCAAATGGTTGATGTCATATTAGAAGGGAATAATAGAGCAACATAAAAGGGTAGGATATTATAATTCAATGATATGATATTTTTTTAGTTAAACCTTTAATTAAGATGTTTAATTTACATTAAAAACCTAAATTTTTTATGATAGACTTCGGTGCAAATTAAGCTAAAGAAGTTTGCGTATAAGATAATTTTTCACGAGAGTTCCGAATGTATCTTAGAGGAATTTAATCCTCAAAACTTATGCTTTTGTGAAATCTGCTGAAATGAAATACTATCACAATTTTTAAAACCAATCATTATCTTCACCTGTGGACATTTATTCTATCTAAACTGCAACCAACTTTTTTCTGAATCACATCCACTTTGTTGAGATCCAGAAGAACAAAACCATTATGATGATAATGCTTGTAATTCTGGTAATGGTTATGATAATGATGCTGGTAATAGCATTGGTTCCAGTTCTGGTAATCAACTAGCTTTTCTTTTTAATCTCTAAATATCAAATTCATCATCATGTCTTGAAGTAGACCAAATCATCACCGAGAAATTATCAAAAGATAATTAATAAATTCATTGATAAAAGGACGTAGAATAATATGATAAATTTTATTTTTACTCTTTTTTTTCTTTCAGAACATTTATAATTAATTTTGGGGAAGGCAGAGTGAGGTTTTGACATCTGTAGTGATTTTTCATCTCTAATATCAAAAGGAACGTTACAATTCTTTTATGATTAGATTCCATTGATTTAATTGAGAATACACAATATTTTGACAGAGCAAATAGAGAGAATTGTGAGATTCACAAAAACGCTAAAATTGGAAATAATAAAAATTCGTGTTAATTGTTTAGAGTAAAATATGTTTTGTATTACTTTTTTAGAATTAGTTTGAAATATTATTTATAGAATAGAATAAAGCGATTTTTCTGATGTATTGCTATCAATGACTGGCCGTTGCCTACTTGTTGATGTATCATTAAAGCTGATCCTGGTGAGTGTATATGTTTCGTGAATTATTTTCTCGTGTAATATGGATGTATATATTAATTTTTAGTTATATGAAAAATAATTATTCCGATCGTCACGAATCGTGACGGTTTTTGTCACATGTTTTATTCTAATTAAAATTAAATAAACCCGTGATCTATTAAAACAACGAATTAGGGGAGGACCAGAAATGATGTCATTTAAAATTCCCCTAGCCAAGTCTAAATTTTTTTGGCTATTGACCCGATTTTGATAATCAGCTAAAATTAATGACTAAATTTAATTTGGCTGCAGTCAATGATAGTTTTTAGCCACTTTGGGATATGGTTAAAATAGCTAACTTTGCTAAATTTTGGTCTCAATTTATTTTGCAAAAATGCAAAAATTCTTTACTTTATTAAAATTTATAATAATAATTTAAATTAGATTAATAGATTTAATTTTTTAATTTAATAAGTTGTAGCTTTTTATATAAATAAAAAATTAAATATATAAAAATAATATTTTGGACCAAAACTTAAAATAAAATTTGGCCAATTTTGGCGGCCAAACACTGGTTTAAGTTTGTCCTTGTGTTACTGATAACGGATCGAAACACAAACTGCGTGAAATTAATACACGATGCAATCGTTTTCACTTGAACTTTATCCAACAAGAGGACATATACATATTTCATTTTATAAAAATGTAACGAATGCAGAAGATTTACGAAAACGTTTACTATCTCATGATCAAGAATTATCTTATGCTTTTATAGATGCTAAAGTGGTAAAAACTTTTTTTTTTTTTAATTAAAAAAAAAAGCTTTATTTTATTTTTTTTCATTAGCCTTACTTGAAAATTGAAAAAAGGTGTTGGACCAGTTTCAACTACTGATAGCTGCAAATGACGCGGTACACCATGAATTACATTCTTTGCTTAAAACTTATAACGTACATTCCGAAATAGTTTATAACCTTTCTCCAACAACAAATGTAAGTTCAATTATAATTTAATTTTAATTTAATCCATTTATAATAATCCTTTGACTTTTACATTAGATAAATGAATCTCTACGAAGATTTGGTATTTCTAATTCTTCAACTTCAATCGTTGTTGTTAAGGTTGGAGGAAATGCTGAAGAGGTAACTAATCAATAGGTTTATTTTATTGTAATTCATTCAGTTCAATTTATAAATTGTTATAATTTAGGTGAAGTCTCATTTATCGACATTGATTCATGGTGAAGAAGCAGATGTTGGAGAATTTTCTAATTCCGTAGATATTTCGAGTATCAAAAAGGTAATTTATTTTATCTCTGAATATAAGTTATTCGTTACGTGTTTGAAAAATAAATAAATAAACAAATTATTTTAAATATTTTATCTAGTATTATAAGATTGATAATAAGGTTACCGATCAAAAAGAAATGCTTGATATTATTGTTGGATCAATCGCTATTAAAAGTGTAAGTTAAGGTAAATTTACGATAAAAATTTTGTATGATACGTAAATTTTAATTTCAAAAGCTCGTAAAAAAAAAAAAAAACAAATTCTATTCTTTTTTTGCCAAGGATATGTATATTATAATATCATCATTGATCAATAAACCTTGTTTGAGACAAATTTTATCAAATTGCTTTTTTGTAATAAAATTAACTCGTCAAAAAAAAAATACAAAGTTACAGTGATAATTAATAAAGGTTCATTTCAGATTATTATCGCCCTTTTTTTGTGTGTATAAGGATTTGTAAAAAAAAATGGATCAAGAAATGGACGAATGTAAAACTCCAACTTCCTCACGAAATAATACGCAAAACATGATTATAGATGTCATGTCACGAAACAACACACAACAGACGGATCAAAATATGGATGATGACGAATATGAATCCTTAAACAAATCACGAAACAATACTCAACAAACAAATCAAGAATTGGATGAAAACGGTGAAGATAATGATGATGTAGGAAATCAAGAAGTTGTAAGTTCTTTTTTATATAGATTTTTTTTTTCTGCGTTATATTTTGATATTTTTGTTTAATTTGTTTAAATTTAGGAAAGTCCTCCTTCTAATAAAAAAAGAAAACGAATCACAAAGAAAAAAGGAGAAACCCAAGAAGAAAATGAGGTTTTTCACGTTTATTTTAATTTTAATTTTTCTCCCTTTCATTTAGCTAAATTTCTCATTATCGATTTTAACCGAATAAAGTCATCAACCTCCAACAATAAATCAAACAAACGTGCTTCATCTACCGCTCAAAAAAAATCTAATACTATAAAATCCAAGAAAAAATCTGTTCCTCAAACTGCAACTTCCGATATCGAAGAAACCAATGATAAGTTAACAACTTCAGAAAAACCAGCAAAGACCAAAAAATCTGTTGGTAGAAATCCTTGGACTTTAGAAGATGATAAAAGGTTGACTGATGCAGTTTTGGTAAATTTACAAGACGTACCTTGGTCTAAAATCGCTCGTGAAAATTTTCCCAATCGTGATAGATCAGGTTGTTACAGCAGATGGAACGTAATCAAGAAAAGGTTATATCAGGATATAAATGGTGGCGGAAGCGATGAAAAGTGATCAAGTAGATTTTTATTATTATTATATGTATGAAAATATACATTTACCAATATCAAATTAAGATTTGAAGTCTTTCAAAAGTATAATTCTCTTTGAAATTGTTAATTTTTATTGATTTGATGTTGTCTACCTTTTTAAGGGATTATCAATAACGTTTTTAAATTACTTTGTTCAAAATATATGGAGAATTATTATAAATACTAATTAGTTTTTTAATTATGCAGCCATCGCATGTTCTTTTGCTTTAGCTTCCTCATATTCTCTCTTCCTTTTTCTATTTTCTAATAAAGTATGTTTACGTTTTTGAATTAATTCTAATTGTCGTTGCTCAAGATAATATATATAAGATCCTACTCCTCCAAAAAATGCAGCCGAAAGTGCATGAGTCATGGGTTCTAAATCAAAAATATTTAATGTTAAATTTTTTAAATAAAATTTTAAATTGAAACCAAAGAAAATTTAAAGCATATGTACTTTGTAAAAGGGGTCTTTGTTGAATGGCTAAAGCAACTACCCTAACTGTGAATCCAAAACCAACCCAACCAGCAACATATGGCACAACACCAGACATTTTAGATTTATAACCTTCAAAAAAAAAAAATATTATCATTATTAATTAATCATAAATTGAAATAATTTAAATAATATATCCTTTACCTAAATAAATTTGTTAATAGATACAATATTTAATTGATGAAATCGTTATAGTTTTTAACATCGATTTTGTGACTTTTTTTTTTTACACAAATTATCGTTAATACACATTAATGTAACCTAATTTGGACCGATAAATGCATTTCAAAAACTCACATGGTGAATTATATCTCGAAGTTTCTTTTGAAAGAACCCTTTTTCTTGGATAAATATCTTATCGATAATATTTGCACGTGAAAAAAAAAACAAATGAAAAGAAATCTTCATGAACAGTCAAATGATTGTCCACATTATCACCGTGAATATCAATGTGATAAAACCGCGTAATTCAAAAAAAAATTTTCTTGAAAATTTTATTATACCTTATACCAAAGATGCCGATAAATACTAATGACCTTAGATTTTTTGCTGAGGATGAACTTGTTGCAATAGAACCATTTTTCAAAGAAGAGGCTTTAATTCTGTCTGGTGTAAGCTATTCATATGCAACCGTTTTTTTTCTTTCTAAAATTATTTATTCAATAAAGTTGTCGATTGAATATCGAAGTCTACACATTTATAATAATTTTAAAGAAATCTTTTGGCCCGTTCGAACCACCAAAAAAACTCGAAATGCCCCTTTGGGCAGCTTTAGCACTGAAAGAACGAAAACAATGTAAAATCTTCCCACCAGAATGTTTGACTATCGGTAAGTTATTTGAATTATGATTTGGTTGATTGGTCGATAAAATGTGCCCGATACTTTCTAATTTCGTGTCATGTTCGAAAATAGAGTTCCTTGAAAATCGATTAGAACTTGAAGATTTCTTAGATATTAATTATGGACATAAACCACTCAGCAACTTACCAAAATATTTTATCGAATTCTCAAAAATATTGTTGGAAAAGTGAGTTATACCTTCAAATACTTGACATTCATTAATTAAAAAAAACATAATAATCGTGAAAAATTATTTTTTTTATTTCTAAAAAATAATCTAGTGCAGAAGATGATATAGAAAATCCAGCAAGGGTACGGTATCTCTTGCAAAAACTTAAAGAGATACGAGAAAATAAAATCGAAAAAAAGTTAAATGATTTAGAGGTTAATGGACTTAAGGTAGGTTATATTATATTTATTTTATTAAAATTAATTCCTTTTTTTTTTTTTTTCTAAATTTATTTTAACTCTAGATGAAAAACCTCACCACAAGTGAGGTTCATAAGATAAGGCCTACTTTCACGATGGCTCTTGGGGGAATAAGGAAATTGGATGGTGGTAGGAGTGAAGATCCTAAAAGACATCCTGTGCAAGTTAATGGTATGCAAGAAATAGAACAATTGGAAGTAAATGGAAGAGGCGACGACATGAGCCTTGAAGATTACAGAATGGATTTAGATGATACAATAATTTATGACTAAATAAATCAAACAAACATCTTGTTTATAAAAAATTTCATATTTTTGCAACTCCCTTTGTAAGTCATCTTTTATGCTATTGGGATTACCAATCTAAAATGACATTGATCAAATTTCAATGATACCTACTAAAGAGGTTGAACAGATTTATCCATATTTATTTATCGAAAATGGAAACCGATTATAAATCCGAAGGTCCAGCTAATACTGCGTCTTTTAACTAACTCTTTATTTTCTTGATTCTATTTCGTTTTTCGCGGGCTATAAAGGACTGTCGGATAAGTTCTATATGTAATCCACGCTGCAAATTTTTCGCATACATTAACAGACGATTTAAATGTATATCGATATAGGCCGAAATGCTGTGTAACGATTATATGCGATATAGCGTGTTTTATCGATTTTAGATTATCAATAGTCGATTTTAAATCTGAATTAGTTGAGCAGACCAGAGGATTTATATAGAGTCCACATACTAGAAATTCATGAGAGAGATGAACATATATTCGTCATATTATAGTTAAAATCATATGGGAGGATCTCTAGGAAAATCAGGTTCCGAGAAATTTAATCTAATAACATCAAAAACTAAAAT